ATGCATTATTCTATTATTGCAGTGAACTAACCAAAGCCAATACCTTAATATCCCCCAACAATGACCTAATCTATTGCATGTTTAATGGAAGGAGGGCAGTATTAGAGCAAGATCCATCATTTAAAGTATTTTTTGTGTTTAGTTTGTTGTCCTTCCCCCGCACCTCCGATTAGTATGGTTGGCTTGCGTACTGTGCGAAAGAAGTTCAACGTACATAGAGCAACAGCCTCGACTCACAACACTGAGAGCACCTCCCAGCCAGCAGCAGCAGCAGTCTACATTTTTATTGCAGCTAATGAAACAAGTGCTTGCCCTTGGAATTAAAAGCAACATCTATTATTGCAGTAAAAAAATACAAAGTAGTTTTATTTGATGTTTTCTCATCAGTGCCTAATGAGTGGAAATGAAATAGTTTTTGTTTCGGTAATTTCTCTTGAGAAAATTTGCTATTTCACAGAAGCAGATTGTTAATTCTAAGATGCAATGTGATTGGAGCTTTGGACAACCTGCACGACTCATAACTGTGAAATGTATACACGTATAAAAGAGCTTCTACTCATAGCTTCTTCTCCGTGACAATGTGGAATGTCCATTGCTGGCTGGCTCAAAGTCCCAAGCACACTTGAGTGGTGAGGCATTTAACCTCTTGTGTCTACTGTACAGTCGAGCACCAACACTCCACGATCGTGGACCCTGTAATCCGCGGCACACCGTGAAAATTACTCCAAACGTCCGCGCCGGAAAAATTGCGGATTTTGGGGAGTTTTTTTAGCCGCCATCAAAAAATCTGCGGAAACTTCTTGGATAAGTGAGATTTTCATCCCCTGCTGATTACTTAAAAGTTGACGCTAACCGTGAGGGCGTTGCAAAGTGCTTGGATTTGCGAATTATTGGATGACAGATTTTTGGACTTCTTTATTTACAACGACGCAAACTCAGACTGTCGTCTGTGACGTGTCAACAACCCAGTGAAGCATCAGAACAGGTACAGACAACAGCACGTCGCTGAAGTTGCACATCGCTTGGGGACGTAGCCCAATTCTCTCATCTTCTGCAGCACACTGTGAGTTAAATAAAAAAGATAATGCACAATGAAGCAGATGCGAGCATCATGCTAGAGCTATTACCGTTTTATAAAGAGTTGTTCCACAATGTGCTCAATACACATGCAAGTTATTAATTGAAGTCGTGTGTTCAGTATCACCCGTATTCTGGCGAATGGCCACAACCACCGGCAGAAGATAAAAATGCGTTGTCTGAAATGATGAAAGGCTCCAAAGGAATACATTTATTTACTTTACTGGAAGTGCAAAGACAATTTTCAGCTGACAGCAGGAGACCATTGTTCAAGTGTGAAGGAGGCTGCAATGGCTGCTATCATTGCCCTTTTGGCAGTGCAATTTAGAGCAAGACATTCCGCGTTTGCCCATTTGAACACAACCATAAATGAACAAGAGTGTTTTTTATTATTCATCTTAATAAAATAGACGATTGAAAGAAATTGGATATCCCTGTAGATGCCATTACACTGGGATTGAATTCCCAGCGATTTGCCAGTGGTTTGGAACTGCAGCTGTGCAAGGGAGTGCAGCTCATAACAATGCAAGCGAGGATCTTGGAGATGCAGAGATAGTAGGGCATTCATTGTCAGTTTAACACATAGGCTTCCGCGACCAATATCCAGAATATAGGTTTTTGGGTTAGATCGCATGTATAAATGTGTGGTTAAACTCGCCACCACCCGACACAGCTAATTAGTAAGGTTTGCCATGAAACAGAACATGCCACTTGACTACTAGTACAGCACACCGGGTGTGTTCGAGAGCAAATCTACAACATTTACAATCTGTTGTAACGATGCATCGATTCAGCCTGTGTGGAATTTGCATGTGCTCCCCTTGGTGTGCTTGGAATTGCTCCACGTTCTCCAGTTTCCTCTCAGAGCTAAACAACAACAAAAAACTTCATACAGAGTAGCTGCTAACGCCCAAACATTGCAATGTAAAAGTATTACCAATCATTTGGGATTTCATATATATATACGGCAACATTGCCTCCTACTGCGAAAACATGACAGGACCCTCCTGAAACGGAGTGTTGAGACTCTGTGAGGCTTTTGTGGGTAAACAAGCATAGTTCTAGCAATGCACGTTCATTATTAAGGCTCACAATACGTGCATAGAAGCTGGCGTGTAAACGATGAAACAAGAAAATTGAACGCAATGGGGAAATTACCCAAATAAGCGTGGAGACATGCATGCTGAGAGACAGGAGGAGGAATCAATGGATCGGAGCACAAACACGAATTAGAGGCATCCTGTTGAACGCTGAGAGAAAGAAGCAGGCTTGGGCAGGGACGCATTGCGGGGAGGAGGTATAGTGAGTGGGAGATGAGCCGGGCGATGGAGTGACAGCGACGAGAGGGAGCAACACCCAGGATGCATCACGTTCGCAATCTTTGCAGTCGCTCTCTGTTCGTCCTCCTCCTTGCGCTCAATCCACGCTTCCACTCTTGTTCTCTTCTTGCCCCCCCCCCCTTCACTGGAACAAACTTCTCCCTCCACATTAAGCAGTCGCCTTCGTTCACAAGTTTCCGCTCCTCACTTATTTTCCCTTGCTCACCCCACAACCCCTTAATCTCCCCCTCACAACCGCCACCGTTACTGTTCCCCCTTCATATTATCATTACACGGCTTTCAGTCATTCCCCATTCATTCAATCCATTCATCATTGTTTACTCCATCAGTTTCGCTTTTATCGAATTCACGCATCACAGATTATACATTAGCCCATTGCTTCCTCTCATCATATTTCATTCACCTCATCGCCACCTTTACATTAACACTCTGTACCGTTTGTTAATTTTCTGTAAAGCGCCTATGGTCGAGGCGCTATGTAAATTTCGTTAAGATAAGAGTGAGAGATGGGACGGGCGATGGAGCGGCAGCCTAGAGAGGGGAGCGCACACTAAAGAGGACGGCCACCGGGGAGATGGAGCCACGAGTTCTGGGAGATCGATTCTGGCGTCGTGGCACCATGCGGGATGGAGATTTTATGGGGAAACCTTCATCCAGCAGTGGGTAGGTCATAGCTGTTGATGGATTCGGCACTTTTCAATCGTTGCAAGTGATGTGTTAATGTCACAGGTGGGCTAACAGGACACCCAAACACATCACTGCATCACAATGAAGAGATACATAGCAAGGGACCCACACTCGGTGACGATTGCTTTGCAAAGGCAGTTAATAACGACAAACTTTCACCGTTTTCTAGTAAATTGTTGCGTTATTAATTTTCACACGGGCTTTTTGATACTTGCATGTGAACTCATGAGCCAGTGACCGTTAGCGTCTCATCGCAGCCGTTAATTCCGACTGGTTATTTCCATTCTGAGCTGAGTACGGTTTTACTGCAAATGTTCGCGTTCAATCTACAGCAAACCATGTTTAACACGTGCACCATCATGAGTAAATGCCTGCAAGGCGAATGGCCCATGTGATTTGCACAGCAGTCAGATCTAGGCACCAACCCCGCACACATTTCATGCACGCTCTTGGTTTTTTCAAAAAATTTGGCGGAAAATAAATGGCGACTTAATAAAGGGATTACATTTTTACAGTAGGTGAAGGCGCAGCCCTGCAATAGTTCGCTCACGCCACCGCTGGCAGAAGGGCCTCCACGAGAGGGATCGTTTGAGAGAGCCCCTCCTAGAGGTTAGTTGGCCGATACTTCCCTGCTGATTGGACATCTTGGAGGAAGTGGGAGTAGCCACACTTTACCGTGATCTGTAGAAGAGCGATCATGCGATATGAAAGTATGCAGACGCATTATGGACCCTATAACGCAAGGCAATCGGTAATCGAGAGAGAGAGAGAGCTGGAAACCGTGGCAGTGAATGAGATTTGGCAATGTTCTTCAACAGAGGCAGGATACAACAAGGGAGTGAGGGGCCTTATTTTGGCTACCTCTCGTTAGGGTACTCAGTGAATCCAAATAAATTAACAGCAAATACCAACGAGGCATGGGTGCATGCGGAATGTCAATCTCCCCGACAGCTCGACATGCCTCCCGCATGCCAATGAGAATTGGTTCCAAGCAAGCGATGGACAAGTCGGTCAGGCCAAAGTCTCCACGCTTGCATGACCGTGGGGTAGCGCTCGTCTTCATTGTTTGGGCCCTGAGCCGGCGATGGCAATTCCCACGTTCTTTTAATGAGGACCCTACCTCGTTGTCGTGCCCCGGAGGGGACGATGGGCTGAGTCGAAGCCCAAGCGGAGTTCTGAGTCTCGTGCTCCCACCCATGGCGCCGCCGGGCCTGGCCGTGGAGCCGACACGATGCCCAGCCAGGTGGTGGAATCGAGCAGTGGGGCATCGTGCCGTTGTGCCGGGTCGTTGCGCATGTGTATGTAGGCTCTGTTTAAATGATTTTTCACCATAAGGTAGCCAACCTTGCCAATCGAAGGTGGGTGCAGGAATTTAACGTGGCCACACCACAGTGTCCAATGTATAATAACATCCAGGTAAATGTTATGATTGTCCGGTTTGAAATGTATCGTGATTATTGTGCTGTCGTGGCGTGTGTCCTCTCACTGTGTGCGGTGCAGAGTTCGGTGTTCACGAATACTCTTGCCCGATGTGTGTGTGGTAGGTTAGCGGTTAACATGCTGCGCTACAAACCCGGCAACCCAAGTTCGATTCCTGCTCACGGCCACATCAGCGACAGTCCTTTCTGACCTGCCGGTACTGGATATCTATGAAAAAGAGTTTCATAGCTCATCGGATTCTTCCAGTCTCAACAAACATTCTGATTCAAATAAATACCTGGTGCGGTGTGTAAAAACATTGCCACTGGGGAGACAAAGGCAGCTCGGCGTGGTGCTGGCCACCCACCCCCTCGTGTGCCGTCTCGGGCCTTCATAGGTGCAACTCGCTCACAGCACTCGCCCCGACAAACTGTGAAGGCTCTATGGGGGACCTTTGTCTTTGTGCGCGTGGTGCAGCGTGTTCCCCGCCGAGCTGCGGGACGTCTTCTCGTCGTGGAGGAGGCTGTGCGAGGCGCGGGGCCGAGCGGAGATCAGCGAGCGGCTCATCAGCGCGTCGCTCTTCCTGCGCTTCCTGTGCCCGGCCATCATGTCCCCCAGCCTCTTCGGGCTGAGCCAGGAGTACCCCGACGAGCGCACGGCGCGCACCCTCACGCTCATCGCCAAGGTCGTCCAGAACCTCGCCAACTTCACCAAGTGGGTCACCAGCGGCGCTATGCACGCCCACACTCGGTCGACGTCGAGGTCATTTCATGTTAATGCTGTGGGTTGGTTGTTTCTTGCCTTCCATTTCAATATTTATAATTAAAATGACCCTGCCAACCCTGTTTCAGGGTTTTATTATATTTACAATAAACTCTGCCCCTGGGCATGCAGCAGTTATTCTGCCGTACTTTCCTGTGAACGCGTTCAGTTAATCGAAATCCCATAAGCACCAACATCTTCATTTATATTTTCAAATAATGTTCCCAAATAGTTCTGAACTCAACATAATGTGTGAAGATTTTTTTTATGCTTCTGCAATTACCAGAGGTGGGACAAAGTCATTGTTATGCAAGTCCAAGTCGAGTCTGAAGTCATCAAATTCATGACTCGAGTCTGACTCGAGTCCAAGTCACATGACTCGAGTCCACACCTCTGACAATTACTACTATATTTAGTTTTAGTGAAGGGGGTTTATTTTTGTATTCCACCAGCCTCGGCATGGTTATTAGTTTTTAGCACCTGTTGGAAACTAATTTGAAATTATAATTACAGTTACCTTGGCAATCTCAATAAGGAACTGTCATGTTTTATCAAAGTTTTTCCCTTGCCCCGCAGAGATTTGGCAGTGATGACACCACCTTCATCCGCGATATTTGCCGAAAAATATTCGATGAAATGTTCGAAGTTATCGAAAGATTTTTTGATATTCGTTCATGTTCATTTCTGTTTGCATCAGTCTCTCTGAAAAACAACATTTACCATTCGCACATCTTGAAGTACGTTTCAATTACAGTGTAATGCCAGACCAGTTAATTGCAGAAATGTTAGCTGTAGAACAACACGTAATAATTACAATTATTCCAAAAACAAATAAAAAAAATTTGCTTAAATTGATGCTCTTTTAACCTTTCGCGTTCCGAGACGTTTGCAAGTTGCAGGGTGGTGAGTGTCCCGTTCACCTCTGAATCTCGGAACGCGCAAGCGTTTCAGCGTTCATTTTATGTAGAGAGTCGTAGCGTCGTTGTTTTTAAAGACATTGCACTCACTGCAGAGAACTGTAGCGACATGACCGCAGCTCTCCAACAGCTGTCGCCAAACTGTGCCACACGCCCTTCCCACCTGGCCTTGTGGGGGCCTCAGGTACCGATAGAGATATTTTATTTCAGTTTTTCTTGCCGTTTCGTTTTGATAATGTACATGTACGTCGTTGGAACGGGAAAGGGTGAAGGTGCGCGCATGGTGCCGGCGCCAGAGACGGCTGGCCCAAGCTCGAGTGACTCCTGGTTCTTGTCTGCATCCTACAGCTTTATTGTTAGCTCCCTGATCCCTGTGTGTTCCACTCTGCCAGCATTGAGAAGCAGTGAGATCACTCTTGCTCAATGCACTGTCCTTCAACTATTTGTATTGCTGCCTTCAAAAATGATCCTTCAAGTAGCTCATCATCTTGACCCAGAGTAAACTGGGGTTGTAGGACAGGACGGGGGCACACTGCTGTGCTCAGGACAGAATACCAGAATTCAACTTCGTCTCCTAACGTTGCCAGATATGCACCAGCAAAGTCCTTTCATCAAGTATACATGGTACATATTTGAATGAACGTATTTATAGTGGACAATTTATATATTTAATCGCTGCTTTCATTATTTCTTCTTACTCATTGTAAGACATCGAAGAAGCCTATCTGTTTAATGCGCAAAGAGAGTGAAATGATATAATTTACAGTAAAAACCAATCGGCCCAGTATAATTTTCTGGCTGGCCTCGTAATCATATCAATCGCCGTCCTCAAATAACACCAAAGGTCTCATAAAAGTCGCATGAATGGAAGAGTCATTCAATACTACCCGTATGGAAACACGTTACTGTACAATATTTCTTACCAAGGCATGACTTATAACCCACGGGTGGCTCACAACCACGCTCAGAGCCTCTTCCAGCACCTGCCACAATAAATCAGGCGGCTCTGAGGCAGAGAGGAATGAGTTATGTGAAGGGCAATATCGAATCTCTCTGATGTATAGTTGATTGCTGTACATACCCAGCAATCAACATTGTGCACCGTGCATGGGCATGGTGCTTTATTAATGCGATGCAGGCTGGAATGTTTATCGAGTGAGGTTGCGTTATGAGCTTTTATATAAAATTGCCAGCCACACGGAAGAACCTCACGGTTCAATTTGCCCCATAAACAATGACCTGTGGTGGACCCCATTAGAACATTTCTCCGGGTCCTCCTCCGGTTTTTCCCTACACGTTTATAATTAACACACGTTTACAGTGTTTGGCTGCCATAAATGTCCACGTGATAAGCCACTTCTTTGAGCTATCATTTGTGGCTGGGTCGCTTCTGAAAAAGAGCTACATAGCTCAGTGGGCTTTTAGAACCTCATACATGGCAGGGACGCGGCTGTTTCCTACACCGGTGGACAATTAAGAACAGCCCACGGTGTGAGACTATAGTCACCAGTCTGACACGGTGGACCACAGCAAATACACCGCTGACCGCTTCGATCATTCGCCTGCAGCGTTTCCACACCTTCACCATGAGGCCACTCCTCAACCCATCTGGTGGCTCACTCGCCAGCCCCAGAATGAACGTGTGCATATTGGCGGTGAACTCTCCGGAATAAGAAGGGCGTGAAAGTAAAGGGCAGTAATTGTGGGTGACATGTTTGTTCACGGCGGGTGAGTGTGCCTGCCTCGGGGCTATTGTGGGTTCGCTTACATCCACACCAATGTGACGTTGATCGGTGACGACGCTGGGAGGTCGTCATCCAACAGTGCGTGGACAGTGGTTGATGGTGATTATGATATAGAACAGATCTACTAATGTAGACCTAGCCCTGACGTATTTATTCGTTAGCCTCTGTCCATCAAAACTTGCAATTTACGGTTATAAAGATGAAAACAAAGATGAAAACAGTACAAATTGATTCCTGTCACTCGAATACAGGTGCCAATTCCATGACTGCCCAGGTCAAACCAGGACAGGTAGTAACCTAGATGACCACCATGCATAAAACAGGTGTTATAGGATGCGGGGCACAGCAGCAACTGTAGAATACTGCCATGTCCATGGCCACTGATCAGCAAGGTGAAGTATGGTCAAAAACCCCCACAGCACGCTTGGTGGGTGGTGGCCCTCATCCAGCAGTAGATTGACAAAATGGCTATACACATGCATGTGACATAGCACAATTCTTGACTATACAGATAGTGCATTAATCATATAGCCAAGTGACACTTTCGATCGTCATTTTATGGCCATTAAATTCAGATTGCCTGATAAATTCAGCCTATTATCCATACATTTTCACATTATCTCACTTTCATAAAATGATTAGAATTATTACCGTATATCTATATTGCATCATCATACTATCTGAACGAACGTAGGATGTTGCTCAGTGTCTACAAAATACAAGGCTCTGGCTTGCCAAACGTAGTTGACCAGAAACCGTGGGATAACCTATTTTTACAAAGGAAAGTCTTCTCTTTACAGGTTCGGAAACAAGGAGGACTACATGACGTTCATGAACGGCTTCCTGGAGCAAGAGTGGGGCCGCATGAAGCAGTTCCTGGGAGAGATTTCCAGCGAGGAATCCAGCCCGAGCGCAGCGACCTTTGAGGGATTCATCGATCTGGGCCGGGAGCTCTCCACCCTGCACTCTCTGCTCTCCGAGATCCTCCTGCCAGAGAAGGCACGGACACAGCACAGCACGGATACGGCCCACCTCGTACGCAGTGCATAATACACCGGCCCCGGGTTGCGGCCCACGCGAGCGCGTGGCGCATTACGCATCGTAGCCCCTAAAGGTTGCGGGGCCACCTCTAAAAGCTTTATTGACTTTGGCGAGCAGCTCTTCAGTATGCGCTACCTGCTCTGCGAGATTGTGCGGCCAAAACGAGGCACATCACCGCAAGACGCATGGCTTGCGCCGCGCACTTGACACAAATCACATATCCGGCCTCCCCCCCTCCCCCCCCCGCGTTGCACGGTGAGCTTTTGAAAGCTCCGTCCACTGGGGGGTGTGAGCTCCACAGGCTGTGATCCCTAAGCGGGAAGATGAGTGGTGCTGCTGCAAGTCGCTGCTTCTCTGTGGTGCGTAAAGATTGCAGAGTGCAAGTGCAACAACGCACGGGCCTGGATGAGGGGCAATATATAAAATGGGTGCCTTTGAGCACAATGGCCCTTCTTCATACATCAAGGATAGAGAGGCCAGGGTGATTGATTAATATTTGAAGACTGAATTATACATCCTTGGACCCTGATAGAAATTCCTTTTTCACAATGTTATTAGATTACACTGTAAGTAAACCAGGTTCTCAAGCGTAGTGAGTTTATGGTGTCAGCCTGACCAACAATGAATGCAAAAATAAACGATCATATCCAGTTTTCTTCTGCTGTACCTTTTGCTTAATTCCATCTCTAAGAATTAAATATCAGTTTACTGTCATATACAGAGTGGATGGGAAAATGCTTTCTCCTACCGAGTAAACCAAAGATCACGTGAAGATCTCTGATATCTTCTTTCGTCGGCAGTTCTCTAACATGAAGGAAGCACAGCTCTGCAAGAGATCCCAATGGATACCTTGATACTTCGTAGCATATAAACACACACACATGCACACACAACTCTCATCGCCTCTTGCTGATGCGCAAAACTTGTCCTTGCACGCGTCCTCACGGCTGCCCCCTCCCCATGTGTGCTGCAGGGAGAGAACCCGGCGGTGCATGCCGCCAAGGCCCAGCTGGACCCACTGCCGCGTATCCTGCGCGAGATCAATGAGGCCTTGATGAACAGGCCTCAGCCCTTGCAGCAAGTGAACCGGCGGAGCGCAGCGCGGCGCAGCAACGGCCTGCAGCAGCGCTCCTCCGACAAGCTCGGCCTGCCCGTGTACGTATGCCCCGAGCAAACACAACGGTTGGGCCTGTGGGTGGGGGGGGTGGGAGGCGGAGAGATTTTTCTGTGGGTAAGGAGCAGAGAGGATCGTAATCAGAATGTTGATTTGGACTACCTGTCAGAACCTGGGTAGTTTTCAGAAGTCTAGCAGCCAATGAGTTCAATCATCTGTGAGGTGGCTTTGACTTGTATGCCGTGTCTTGTTCGGCACGGTCGTCCGAATTTCACCGCGTTGCTTTTGAGGAGCTTTTTGTCGGGGAGCTGTCCAGCTGCTCATAGAGCAAAATGTTGGGCATCAAGAAGCTTCCCAGGATGGAAAGCGAAACGACGGACATTATACCGCACAGGGCCGCGGTACATTAGACAGCTGTACACCATGACCGTAAAACCCTCCTCCACGCTAGGCAATGGATTTTATTTTTTTAAAGTGGTTTCCCACTCGAAGCAGGAAACGATATTACTTATCTACTCTGCACAACCCCTGAGCCAATGGCGGATATGCACATCCGTATGGCAGGAGCAGGTCATCACCTAGGACGAGCACTGCTGGCTCTCCCCACAAAGTATTCTTTATGTTCTGACCTAGGAGGGGTTAAGGGCCGAGTCAGCCACTGAATTGGGATGAGATCTTTTAACCTTTCCGATTTCAAAAGTACCACCAACTTTGATGAATTGGTTGTATTCCAGTATTATGAGTGACTGTAATTTATGTTACCTGTCTACAAATTGAATTACGCCTGCAGTGTCCTCAACCAAAGAAGGCTTTTTTATAAACTGACATTTGAAAGTTATATTTACGTACCAGAATCTACTAGTTGAGAGCTAGGCTCTTGACCCTACAATATAAAAAAGGTGTACATTCATGAGCAAGTCACAACGTGATCCCAGCTTGTAAGCAAAGAGGGTGGCAGTAATGATGCAGTATCTCTGCCCGTACAATAAAATCGCATCATGTCGACTTTCTTATCACAGCAGCCTATTTCCAAAAGCTCTGGTACACAAAGGCTTATTTTAATTAGTTTTTAAAATATATAATTGAATGTGCAACTTGGCAATTATCTTTTGCAGTAATACTAACATATTAGGGATGCACTGGTCGTAAACCCCAGGCTATACTTTACGTTTGCAAGAAATTAATTTGGGTAATGTTGTGAAATGCTTTTCTGTTAAAAGTACGTGTCTAATTGAAGGAGCATGTTATGCTTAATCGTCTAAATCAATGATTCACGTAAGTCTCTTAAATGCCCTCCTCAAACATTTGTTTCGCAAGTTTACAAAGCTCAGAGTCTCCTCGCAAAGTTCAAACGTTGACTTTTATCGTACGGAGTCAATAGTAGGAATTCCACATTGCTATGGCAGGGGATTCGCCTGTCCACATGACAGCCACAGTGTCCACTTCCTTTCCAGAATGTGCAGCCTCACCAGGCAATGCACATCTTGCTGACCATGTTGAAGGGACGATACCGAGGGTCTGAGTCAATCCTGGCCGGGGATGTGAACTCTCGGATGTTACCGCAACTCTGGCGCTTTTATCGTCAGTGTGAAATTTCAATTCTCTTGCAGTAACAAAGCCAAGTTGTCCACTGCCATAATTACCAAACACTGCTATGTATTTGGCAATGAGATAAACCGTTCTTCAGTGCTACAATTACATCTTGATGATAACAACTGCACTCAAAATTAAATGTTACTGTGGTTTTATGGCAAAAAAAATGTGTGTTTGACATTAGTTTCTTTGATATCTGAATAAACCCAGCCTCCCCCCTCCCTTTCACTACCAGAGTAAAGTATGGTAAAAGACCTGAAGAGTGACATGACATGGGGAAGCCTTCATCCAGCAGTGGATTGACCCAGGGCAGCAACAGTGTTTAGTAATGGTAACAATATATTACCGCTAAGCCGGGAAGTCAACGAATTTTGATCTCGGAACAAGTTGTGGGACTTCCACCGCTCGTCCAGATGTCCCATTTGTAGATGAGCACCGCCCGACACACATTTGAACAAGGAGACATGTGAACGTCTGGACCTAATCATGACCGACGTGAACATGTTCGTGGATTATCATCTTCTTGTTGTGAACGACAGCCCTGTTTTTTGATAACAACTCAAGTCGATGCTTTATCGCTGCCAGTTTACACAGTTCCTGACGATTCTGTATGATGATGGTGATGAAGATGATGCAGCGACGGCTGACAAACATGCACAGGGTGGCCTGACCATAAATAAGTTATTTGAAGTCTGTAGAAATTTGGGTGAAGCCAACTGGCTTGAAAAGCAAACATGTCCAAAGCACCACCACCATGACCTGCGGCAAGCGTGTGCCTTGTGGCTATCTATAAAGCAATTTAAGTACCCATAATCCTCCACAAAATCACCCAAATAATTTTGCACAATTTGACAGTTTTGCACTGAAAAACGAAATTCTCCACAGTGTGTGGTTGTAGATCAACATACTTACTATTTTAATTGCATGGTTTTGAAGTTCAAATGGAGTTTAACAATTAATGTTTAATGAAACTTCATTTAAAGAAATGAAGTTTTTGTGATTGATTGAATGAGTGCCACGGTGCTGGTGAAGAGCTCTAGCCTCTAGCATTTGGGGGCCCAGCAGCATGATTGTAACAGGTCTGGCTCAGCTCAGTAGGCTCCAAAGCCAAATCCTGTCTAGAGTTTCCCGAGTAACACAACACTGCTGGAAAACATTGGTTCAGAAGGCATATATATGGAATAAAATGTAATATTGTTTTTGTGTGGTGATGTTTAATTATGTATGGTTAAAGTTACTTAAACTCAGCCTCTGTGAAAATATATGTTGGAAATAAGGACTGCTGTTTTCATAAAGTCTGCATCATGGATATTGTGTTGTTACTTATCGCCTTATCACCAATGATTCCGCCTACCTGTACGACAAGTCACCTGTCCGGCTGCTGTGTTGTGTCCTGACAGTGCCGATGCAGTGACGAGGCTGCCCACACCCACCCACTCAAACGAGGAGATGTACTTCCTCACCAAAGCAGGGGGGGCGGCGGCGCAGGGCGGCCCCGCTCGCAGCCTCAGCTACACGGAGAGGGACGCGGAGGAGCACGAGCCCTCCCCGTGGAGGGGACGCAACAGCGGCTCCATGCTCGAGCTGCCCACGGTGCAGAGCTGCGGCAGCCACACCAACCTGCTGGAGCAGTCGTCGGGAAGCCAGTACTCCATAGGGCACCTCTCCAACGCCAAGCGGCCTCGCATCGCGCAGAGCGGCAGCCAGACAAGCACGCAGGAGCACCCCCGCTATCCCGCCTCGGGCCAGAGCAGCCCGCAGCCCACACACGCCGGCTTCGGCCTGACCGCGAAGCAGGAGCAGCAGAGATTCCCCAAGCAGGCCGCGACCGTCGGCGTCCCGTCGCAGCAGAACTTCCTGTCCCCGGGAGGCCCCACCGGCGTCCAGCCCCAGCGGCCGATGCTGATCAGCGGCAGCCGCTCCCTCGACCTGCCCCCGAGCCGATTGCAGCCGCTGTCCTTCCACAACCCCATGTACCAGTTCGGCAGCGACAGCCCGCCGCCGCAGCGAAAGCGGGACTCGGGTTCGGAGTACCTGAGCTCGCTGAGCTCCCGCAGCCCCAGCGGCGAGCACGTGTGCAAGCACAGCCTGCACAGCCACAGCAGCAGCGACGAGCTGAGCAAGCAGCATGGGGCGGCGCTCACCGTCTTCAACGCGCACCGCCAAAACAGCGGCGCCGGTGGTGGCGGTGGTGGCGGCGGGCACCTGTGGGTGGAGCAGCAGGGAGAGAGGGCGTCCTCTAGGCAGAACACGCTGGCTGTGCAGCCTGGCTTTGGCGTGCCCAGACAGAACAGCGCCGAACTGCACCCGGAGTACGGCTTGCCGAGACAGGGCAGCACTTCGATGCAGCCAGATTACGCCTCTTCCAGGCAAAACAGTGTCGGGCTGCATGCCGAATACGGGTTGCCGCGACAGAGCAGCTTACAGCCAGATTATGGCGTGCCAAGGCAGAACAGTGCAGGATTGCTGCAGGAATATGGTCTGCCCAGACAGAACAGCGCCGCACTGCAGACGGACTATCCCATGTCGCGGCAAGAAAGTATGGGGTTACATCCAGATTATATACCGCCGAGGCAAAACAGCGTGGGATTCCACGGTGACTTTAGTTCCACGAGGCAGAACAGTACTTGCTTGCAGCCCGATTTTGCTGGGTCGCGACAGAATAGCGTGGGGCTGCACCCCGATTTCGCATCGTCGAGGCAGAACAGCGTCGGGATGCATTCCGACTTTGCTTTGCCCAGGCAGAGCAGTTTGGGCATCCAGGGTGACCTGGCGGTGCCCAGACAGAACAGCGTGGGGCACTCCGCTTGGATGGACCAAGGGGGCATGCTGACTCCGAGGCAAAACAGCACGTCCAAGCCGACGGACCAAGGGGGGCGGCTCACGCCGAGGCAAAACAGCGGAGCGCAGCAAACGGAGCTAGGAGGCCCGACGAGGCAAAACAGCGTGGGCATGCAGCAGGATGCAGGCATGCCCAAGCAGCAGAGTGGGGGGGGGCACCTGTGGTGGGACCAGGCGGGCAACGGGGCGCGCAGAAAGACCATGCAGCTCAACCTGTCGATGGGAGGGCAGCAGTCGGGCGCCGGCAACAACAACAACAACCCCGGTTTGATGCCGGGTGCGGACGCGATGCCGGTGGGTGGCGGTGGGCCCTCTCGCCAGCACTCGGCGGCGTCCCAGAGGGAGCGAGACACGGAGGCGCAGGCAGCCATGCGTGCGCAGCAGGTGAGGGATGATGATGATGGTGGCGGCGGTGGCTCCGTTTCCTGCTCTAATTCATTAGGTCTGGAGTCAAGTGTGAAATAGCTCCCAGTTGCTCGAGTAGAATGGCACGTGAAGGCTATCGAGGACGTCGAATGGGAGGTATTGGTATACATAGCTCTTCTCCTGCACGGACGTTCACTGTGACATTCACACGAATATAAATTCTGAAAAGAAGTTTGTACAGTTAAGAATGTAATATTTTTCAAATGCTTTAATTCATCAACGTAATAAATCCAATCCACTTGTAGCCATTGCCTTATGAACAATGTTGTATACAAATAAAAAGATGCTGGGTTAGACCCTTCGTGTATTTAAACATGAATGCGTCACTAACAGGCCGAACAATTAGTATGTGACTGTGTCAGTAGCACAATGCACGGTGTGTGTGTGTTGCACCGGGCAGTGATATATTCACAGGAGCTCGTCGTGTTATAAATGCGCCTGTATCCATGGCGCTCTGGGTGAGCCACCCGCTGTTATTTCAGCCCTACGGCATTTTACAAATTTGTCCGATCCTTGTGGCCTGGCCTTGAGCACCAAACCCTCACCTCTTCTGTCCCACTCATTTAAACCTGCTGTGCGCCCTACATTCAGCATCGTTGGCCTGACAGTTATTGATGCCTTGCTTGTTTTACAACCAGTGGTGGTAGTGGTGGCAAGGGCTGTGTGTCTGTGCGTTTGTGAGTCACACCTTGGGGAGCGCTAGTGCAGTGGTTAGCGCACTGCGTTAGGAACCTGGCGACCCAAGTGACATATATCTGAATCAGTCCTGGGCCACCCCTAGGTCGACTCAGCCTCACTTGAGTACTTCGTGCGATTTGTGGACATCATCACTAGGTAGACAAAGGCGGTCAGGGGTGGTGCTGGCTAACCATCGTGTGCCGTGCCAGCCTTCTTAGGTGCTCGCTAACGGCACATGCACTAACAGTCTATTATCGCTCTATGGGGGATCTTTGTCTTTTTGTGCGCCATACCAGTGGTGTCAGAACTTGGATGCTCGTTCATTGGGATTACTGAAAAAAAAAATGAGCACATGGTAAGGCCCCACTGAGCTTTATCCTGTAGTTCTTTTTCAGAAGCAACCTGGCTTTCACAAATGATAGCTCAACGAAGTGGCTTATCATGTGTAAGTTTATTGCAGCCACCGTGGCGCGCCTATTGTTGACCATCCCGTCGGTGGTCGACAATATCTCCCACTTTATGGGGAAGTCAACGGCGTTTGTCCTATGAATAGACCCACCCCCGACCATAGCAATGTGGGATTTCCACCACTGGCCCTGGGCTGTACAGGGGAAGATGAGCACCAGTGCTCATTCTACGACGCTCATTCGAGCAGGAAATCACCGCGTCAATTTTTGTGTTGCTGCTGCTGCTGCTGTAGTCACTCGACGGAGCCCTGTCCCCCGACGAGCGCACGGCCGCTTGGCTCATCAACATGCTCAACCTGGAGGACGATGCCGACAAGCTGGAGCAGCTGCGCGAGAGCCGGGAATCCAGCGAGAAGGTGCCCAGCAAGCACCACGAGGAAACCGTTTTAAATATCCCTCTCAGCTGTTCAACAGCTGAGCTGTCGTGCAAAAGGCGACGTTTTGGCCGTGATGACCTCCTGGCCTCTGTAGGTTAAAAACAGTGTCTGTCACTGTAGCTCATTGGGTTCAGTGGCCTCAACTTGGACTGGATTGTTTTACGTTTTAAGCTCTTGCTGACTATATGTAAAATGTTATAATATTAAACAATAATCACGATTTTTAACACATAAGTTTTAACAAATACGTTTTCTGTAAAACCACACAATGAATATTATTAAATATTTTCCTTTTTTTGTCTTCCGTCAGTTATCAAACCAAAAATATCAGATTGTGATGCAATTATCCCATATGGTTTTATAAATCATCTAAATGTCACAGCATCTCTGAGGCTGGGGGCACAATCTACTGAGCTACAGAGCACTGGGTGGCAATGACCACTTTCAAAAAAGTGTATTGTATAAAACGTTTACAAGTTTGCGTCCTAGTTTATTGCAAGATTCATAACTGTATGAGGAATAGAATTCTAACTAAAGTAGTCAATATAAATCGGATTCAGTTGTTAATCAGATTAGCTAAGGACACAATCAATGTAGATTCTGATTGGATGGGGTTTAACTTGACGTACGGTAATTAGATCAGACGAAAACTCGACCATGCACCCTAGTATCTGTGCTTGTGTCTTCCGAGAAAATATGCGTCTACGAGTGTTTACATGCTGAATAGGAATAGCTAACTGAAATTGGAGAATAGCTTGCTCCAAATTTCACAATTGCCATTAATCACTCATGGAGTGAATGTGTACTATTCGTTGAGTAATAATTTTACATTATCGTGAATGGTTTTTTGTTAATGAAAAGACACGGAAACGTTCGCTTATGCTAAAAGAGGCATACGTGTGCATCTCTGCCATGCCTACTCGTGCCACGCGATGCATCGTTTCGTGCGTGCGTGTGTGTGCCCATGGCCGCAGTACGAACAGGAGATAGGGCGCCTGACCGACCGGCTGGTGAGCGCAAGCCGGCGTCTCGAGGAGTACGAGCGGCGCCTGCGGCGGCAGGAAGATCAGATGCGGCGCATGCAGCAGGAGTACCAGAGTCGCCTGGAGGAGAGCGAGGAGCGGCTGCGGCGCCAGCAGGACGAGAAGGACTCGCAGATGAGGGCCATCATCGGCAGGTGACCGTCGCCCCTCACGCCCACGTCTTGTGTTCCTGCCGGTGCACGGATGGCATGTAGCCCCCAAGGGGGGGCACCGTGGCGGATTGCTCGACTCGCCAACACGTCTGGGGTCGACTCAGCTGGTCCTTCATCTCATGAGTACCACTCTGTGGAGAATGCCGAGAGTGGAGTCTGGGCCCTGGCGTAGTAATGTTGAATTTTCTTCCGCTGGCTCCAGGGTTGCCGAATGAGATGAGCAATACTTCTTTCACCGCAATTCACTTAAAATTTTATTTAAAATAAACAGTCAAATTTTCTGGGATTATTGAGCTTTGTGCCTTGAATTTAAATGGCACTAGCAGTAATAGGTCTGCCCATATATGCATATGTCATATGTGTCATATAAAATACAATGGATGTTTGATAAAAACCCCAACCAAATATTACTTTCGCTGTACCGGGATGTTGAGCATATGTACTTAAACTGCCTTTTTTGTGTTCAGAAACAATACAATTGATCTCTGCTCGATTTAAGCCATTGTTTATAGCATTAAAAGGGCAGTGAAGCAAAATCCAATGTTCTACTCTGCTCCTGTGCTGCCAAGTCTGTCCCACCGCCTTCGTCGACCCGCATTGACCAGCGTATGGCCAAAACAACCCCAGAAACCTGCGCAGACTTGGGGGGGGGGGGGGGGGGGTGGAGGAAGCCCTCGATCAGAGCAAGGCAGCACACCAACGTGAAAATACAGGAGATAGACTGGATATTAACGTCTTGGCGGTATTCTTTGGGTCTTTCGGTAAAGTCACGTTGATAAGTTCAAGTAAAATAACAAAAAACTACGACGTTACGATCCTGATGACGACCGCTTGTGTTGCAATCGAAACATAGTAGTTTCGTGTTATTTTCTTTGAACCTATCTACGTGACTTTTACCGAAAGACCCAAAGACTATGAATTCGTGCAGTGACGAAAGCTTTAAGTCAAGTATTGGCGGTACACTGGTGGTGCGCGGTATAAAATATTTTTATTACAATTTTCGCAATCATTATTTACTTTCCCGCAATTTGCAACCCCCGGTCAGAAAATCTTGCGGGGTGGTGGTGGTGGCGGTGTGTAAAAACCAGTTCTCGCGATGTCAAAGCAGTTGGGAGACAAATGTCGGTTCAAATGTAGATTTTAGGCTGTTTTATGAGACCAATATATCCACATCCAGATTCTTGAGTGTCATCTCCTCTTGTGTCCGGGTGTTCTCTGGGTACTCCAATTTTCACCCCATACTACACATCAAAACTCATTTAAAGCACTTGGCCAATCACCTTATTGTAGGACCATCCAAAAACAAAGTTTAGAGAATCGATTTATTAGATAACTTGTGGACAGTTATCAATGTTCATGTATTCCTCTACATTTGAAAGTTAAATATTATGCATTAGAGTTTTTTTGTCTCCTTGACATTGTGTGACATTCATTTTCATTCTCTGAAATACGCATTCAGTTATCTTTTTTCCAACAAAAACATCAAGTTGTGAACCGTCACTGGGTTTTACGTGCCAAATTTTGCTTGTCAAGCGAAGATGATGTCTCTGATGAATTTTCACGATTGCGTTCGTGTCATGGGAACGTAACAAAGTTCCTCGTGAACAATTGGCCCAGATGATGCACGACTCTCTTATCGTGTTTGTTTACGTACTCACGAGTGAATTCAGAATTTCCCGAGAGGGTAATTAATGTTATACGAGTGAGCAATTTTGAAATAATTTCATTCCGCGTCTATAATTGTAAAGTTGAAGGCGCAAGGGGATTAATTAATTAATTAATTTCGTACGACATTTTTCTATGCTAATGCTACTCATCTTGCAGTATGTACCACAAGCTCTCACTGGCAAGTGTGTGAACACATATACACCCAGGCACATACGCAGGCACATACGCAGGGATACCCACATTCGAACACCCACATTCGAACACCCACATTCATACACGTTGTTTGCATCCAGTACATCTATAAAACACTTGTGTGCACACCTATACATGTATACTTATGCACACTGGTTTACCTTTACGGGCTCACCCCCATGCAAATACAAAGATACCCCTGTATAGACTGTTGGGGCAAGTGCTGTTACCGGGAACCTATGAAGGTTGGAATGGTACACTAGGTGGTGTACCATTCCCAAAAGCACATTTGTCTCCCCAGTAGCGATGCTTCCACACTGCAGCCAGTACTCATTTGAGGCTCGACCAACGACCGGTTCAGATAATTGTCACCAGCATTGGCCCTGAGTGGGAATCAAACTTGTGTCGCCGAGTTGGTAGCGCGGTGCGCTAATCGCTGCACCACCACTCCCATTCGTCCTCATGCACACCACATGCACGCGCGCACTTTAATGTGGGCTCTTTGCGTGGTGGTGTGCTAACCTAGGCTGATGGTGGTAGAAGACCGGCTGAAGCGAGACTGTGCCGATGTGCAAGCAGACTTGGAAAACAAGCAGCGGTGTATGGAGGTACTGTACGCCCCACCCCAGGGAGCATTTTTTTGGTGGCAGCACCACATGGGAACGCTTGCACAGTACGGACGTCGCCATTCCTGTCTACGCCTGAGGCAGCCCGCTCGGAGCGAGGTTGCTGTGTGGGCTTTCAAACAGAGCCTGCATTATTGCTTGTCGTATCCTCCACAGTTTTGGCTGCACACACAGTGGCAACGCAAGTGCTGTTCGCAAGTTCCTCGTAAACCACCGATGATGGCCATGGTTCCAGTTATTCCTGTTATCAATAAAAGTATGTTTAATACCAAGTTATTTTATAATTTCATCCTTTTCACAGAGATTATGAACCGTTCCACGTATTACACATTTCACTTTTATTGCAGTTGCATGGTGGATTTGCCAATGGCTGTGTTTTTCAGTTGCCCGCTGGGAATGTACCATTGGCCCATAGTGGGTGTGTTGTGAAGCTAATATCATTAGACTGCTGGAGGCATGCATTGCTAAATCGCAGTGCATCGGGAGAGCACGGGCTGCCATGAGACACACAAAGCCCTTTGGTAATATAAAAGTGAGGCAGTCTTAAGTCAAAATTTGAGGGAGTCCAAGGATCATAGAGCCAGACTAAACATGCAACATTTCTTGAGGGCCGTGTCAGAAGTTCTGAGCTATACACATGATTATTGGGTTTGAGCATTCATGCTGTAGGCATAGAGACTCTGAATTTAATTCATTTTGGTCTGTTTAGCATTCAAATTGAATACACCCTGGCTGAGTGGACCAGCTTAGCTGGATCGTTGTGTATATGTCCGTGTAGTGGTGAATGCGATACATTGCAGCCCTAGTTTAGGGTCTTTAACCCAGGCGCAACCTCAAGATTCATTGGCATCTGAATTTATTCTGGGCTTCCTTTAGGTTGACTTGGCATAAATTAAGTAACATGCTCTAGTATATCCACTAAGTACAGGAAATTGTCAGTTTTAATCGGTGCTGCCTAGCAGCATGGAACCCTGTAATCTATATAGTAGGGGTAGTCTTTTTTTCTGTGAATGTATATGTGCGTGTTGTGTGCGCATGGTTCACATAATTAGCACTGTTTTCCATCACCGGGAATCAAACTTATGCATCCGGGTTTCATAGCGCAGTGCACTAACCACTATTACTGGCCCTGTGCCCTCCCTTGAGTCGTCTTAGCCTTAAATGAGTACCTGGTGTAATGTGTAAACATGAGCAGTGGGGAGACAAAGGCGGTTTGTCGTGGTGCTGGCCCACGCCGCTGCCTCGTAAACTGTGCCGACATTCATAGGTGGTTCGGTTACAGCACTTGCCGCAGCGACCCGTGTGTATTGTATGTTGAACTTGTTTCGCGCCGTACGCATGCACATATTACACCTAGCCTCACACAGGTGCCGTGGTGGCGACGTCGCGGAGTTGCAAATGGCGGTTGTTGTTGTCGTGTGTCGCGTGGCAGGACAAGCAAATCATTTCGATAAACATGGCCAACCGGCGGCTGGTGGACGCCGTGACCCAGCTGAAGGAGCGCTGCCACATGCAGAGCCGTAACGGCCTGTCCCCCGCCGCAGCCAACCCACCGCGCCTCTCCATCACGGAGACGGGAGAGTTCCGCAACAGCAGCTGCTAGCGCAACCCTCGGCACGCGCACGCGCGCACCACGGGACACAAGAGTCAAAGAAAACCTTGTGCTCGGCAAAGATTGGAAAAGTTTGTGTGTTTTTGCAGTGTTCTCTTTCTTGTTGTTGATGTTTTCTTCTTCTTCCTAAAATTATAAACATTCCAATTGGACTTCCTCCTTTTTGAAAATGCGTCCATTATCATTGCAAAGTTAACAGCACGAGAGAGAGGAGGGAGAGGGAGCAGAGGAATGAGTGGGCTGGAACCATCTCATGTGGACACTCGGGCTACAGGAAGTCGACTGACAGTGCCGCCCTCTTGGCGACACCTCGCACCTTCACTCCAGAAGAAGGAGGAAGCCTCCGATGCCGCCGATGGTGCAAAACGAGGTGACGGGCTCAGACACAGAGCACCGACGAGGGTTCACGCACCAACCACTCAGGAACACAAGTATGAGGGATCAGCAATAACCAGTGCTGGCTTCGAATATTTGAATTCCTAAATGCAAATATAACCAAGCATCTCAATTTGTGTAAATGTTGCAAAGTTCAGAAAGTCAACTGCTGAATACTGTATGTGAATTCGATTTTTTTTGAATGTTCATCCATAGATTTCAAACGTGTTAAAACCGGTAGGATGCATGCGATTCTAATCTCCTAAGTTACGGAAAATGTGCGACGGAGTTAAATACAAACATTCAAATGTTATTGTGACGGGAATCTGGCGTGGCTTCATTGACAGCTATTTGTACGTGTGCTACGCTGGTGGTGGCGTACGCGTGGGCTTGGGGTATTATGTGAAACGTGAACCAAGGCCTCTCCAGAACGTGCGTGCACTGAAGCTCACCGCCAGCTACCAACACTGTCGTGTTGTGTTTAAACGTTATACAAGCAATTGTATTATTTCATGTGTTGCGTCAGTGTAGCTCGTCAAATAGCCACACTAAAACAGAATGATTACAGAATGAGATGAAACTTAAACTTACATGACAACTATTATGTAACTACTAAATAGTAATAACGTATTCTATTTCTGACAGTGAACACAAATTATTGGACTGGAATCAAGTGCAGTGTCCGATAAGTTAAACAGACCAGTTGTTAACTAACACATGCCGAGAGTTGCTATTAAAATTTTGATGGAGGGACATTCCTGTGTGGCACAGCAGTCTGTGTCGGCAGAGCCAATGTTTAAATACAAGGTTCATCACTTGCCAGAATTTGCCATCCATGGGCATATGGGTGACACTACTAAACTTTTGGTTTGAGTGCCTGCTTTATTAGGGTATTTAATAAACAGGGTGATATCTAGCACGACTTAGCACAGCTAGTAATAGGCATAAGCACAAATGCTTTGGACACACGTGCGTGAGATCTGGATGTCTTCGTTGCTTCTAGAAAAACAGACCAAACAGATTAGGCTATTGCCTTCTGGCGCCAAGGGACCGGCTCCAGACGTGACTGTGGCATTGATGTCATGGAAATTCCTCCACAAAAAAACCTGAATGATTGAACAAATAAATTGGTAGATTAAACAAGACTGGGCTGTGTGTCCCTGTAGGTCTTAGAGCTTCGATTGACAATGACATGAGACAATAAAAGGGTTTTTTAATTCCACGTAGAAACAAGAGTCAGCATTCAAGACCAGTACAGACAATCTCATAAATCAGTGCGACCTCCATTCAATTTTGAAATGTATGTTAATGTAACTACACTGTTTAATGTAAATTGTCTATTTTACCTTTTTTAGCTTCTTTAATCAATTAAGCCTACCATCTTTAAGAACACAAAGTAGACTTTATTCAGACACATCTATTAACAATTTGCACTCAATTTTATCTCGTGTCCCTATTGATTTGTGTCTGTTCTATGGTCGAGGCCTAAGCACAGGTGGTCATCTTTGGCCTTTGTCATGGGGCTCTGCTTGGTGTTGATTTCATCAGCAACGAAGGCACAGGAACGGTGATGAACCGCAACCCGCGAACGCGTCTTGTCCTTCCCCCACACCTCCGATTAGCACGGTTGGCTACGCATTGTGCGGAACAAGTTCAACACACACACGACGCGCGTTGCTTACTGCCCATTGCTGCCATAGGTATGCATTTGAGACTATGCCAAACTTATTTTGCTGAAAATTGAGTTTTAAGTTTACATTCTAATGGTGTTTCCCTTTGGGGTCGAGATTGTTCACCAGACGTTGTGCCGCCCATCGCTCAATCTAAAGTCGAGTTGCAATCAGTAAGAACTTAGCCACATGAGACCACAACTTCCCTCGCGTCCCTCATCCCGCTGCTCAACTCTCCTGTCTCGACATTTGGCATTGCCCTCAGTCATGTGCGCTGGGTCAACAACGCTAAAGAGGTCACTGCAGCTAGGGCCGATGATGTTACCGCTGTTGCTCCTGCTCCTGCAACGTAGGCCCCGCGGCCTCATTAATAATTAATCAAATGCTCGTGTGCAGTCCCAAGTGTTGCATTTACCCATGCAGAAAAAACATTAAACATAGCCTTTTTGGCTATCATCTCTATTCTTCATTAAATAGCCCAAATTGATAATCATCTCAGGAAAACATACATATGACTTGCTGCATTATACATTTTTTATTTTATATGTTGCTTCAATTCAAAGTGGCATTATTTCAAAATTACCATCATGCATGTATTGTTCCTTTTTCAAAATTACCCGTGTGCTTCTACTATCACAATGGAGCCACCTACTGGTAGTTTATTGCATTGCGACCACGGATATCGTAGTAGCAATGCATTTAAAATTAAGGCATGAGTGCGCATGCCTCTATCTTTAGATAGAGTACGGGGCGATGTGCACGGGGCGATGTCTGCGTCGCCCATTTACCGTATCGGTGCGGCAAGGCCAGCCACCTTCCGTCAACGCTGCCTCGTGCCGCAAAGTCTATCCCCCACGGGTCTGGTTTTCTGGGGCCCTTTGTAATGCCATTTCAAAAAATGACGCCCACCTCCTGTTGAGTCCATCGGTGTTTTTCAGGACGAAATCTATATTACATTGAATATCTGTACAGCGTGTATTTTAAGCTGTCAACTGAACAACACCACACATAAGAAAAATTGGTACAGCCATTGATCTGTTGTGTTTCTTCCAAAACATGACTTTTTACAGGGTTTTGGTTTGAATCGTAAAGTACAAGTAGGCTGTTGTATCATAGAGTTGGTTGGGCCCGAGTGGTGGAGTAGAGCTTATGGTAGTCATGCTTGCAATATCGTTGTTTTACTTTTACCTTAAACTGTTCACACGGGTTGTCCGTGAAGTGGCCTACTGTGTTGATTCGATGCCCTAGGCTACCACGTGCTCCCCAAAGTCAGCTCTGACTTCGTCTTTGTTCACACTGTGCCTTATTCAGCATTGCTAAATCATTTCTTATGTATACTCACATGGCCTACGCATATATTTTTTACACTTTGATTTACTGAATAATTTACAGAACGGACAAGTGCATGTTCCATGCAGTGGAAATGCAGTCAATCTCTTGACCATGACTGTCGTATTTATGTGAATTGTATACAGTGTAATATAAAGCAGTGTATTTTAAGCATCGTCTTCTAGATATGAAGACACTTGTAGGCTTAATGAAACGATGGACATTTCCGCTTTCCCACCGTTTTCAACTAATCTATGAAGATGCATGGTCTATGATTGGAAACATCAAGTACATTTGACCAGCCGCTGGTTAATAATTGGTCATATTTGTTGGCAATGTAATGCAACAGAGTAAATAAATGTACAGTTCATTTAAAGTATGCCAATAACCAAAATTAGATGTGAAATGCTAATGGCTATTATAGCAGTTCACTGAAGCAACAACTTTTACACGTTGCATCAACATTTATTTCCTTTTAATCAGAAATAGCACATATACAAGTATTTACGGAGTGTGTAGTATACCCCAGGTGGAAAGTTTTCATGAATTGGTAATATGAGAACCATTGACGCTGAAATATTTGTTGATAAAACCCCTTTAGCTGAGCGATGATGGAGACAAGAATATGATTTGTGGTTTATGAACAAACCAACAGAGGGCAGCTCAACTTGGGTCATTCTATACGGAACATTGGAGAGAGAGAAAATGGTCAGTGCTGTTAGAGTTATGGTAAACAATACATTATTTGAACAAGCCCTCACCTTACGCTCTGGATCGGCCTTCAAACGTAAAGTTGATGCATGCGGAGTGCAAGGCCGGCTGTCTTGGTCCTGTGAAGGACCGTGTCGTGAACACGTTTGGCCCTTCGTGATTGTCAGAGCAGCAAGAGGCCATTTCGGCCGTCTTGCCGCAGGGAGGACCACGTGTGGGGTTGTCATCGTCTCCCCAGGGTAAACAATAGGAAATGAGCAATACACAGTAAACACCTACATAATCTAAAACAAACTAAAATAGAGAATGTATAAGTTACGGAATATCATCCAAGAAGTAGTGTTTACACAATTATTTGCGAAGAACGATGGGACGTCGGCGAATAACAAAAACAAGGCTTCGCATTCTCTCTGCATAATTGTGAATCTTTATCAAATAATTCTCCAAGCTGCATTATCACAGCTTGCTCCGTGATGAGTGAACAGGAAGTGACGCGAATCACAACCCTCATCCTTCAATCCGCATTTTATCAGAGAAGGGATCGTTAAAGGGAATGATGACTAACGGGTGAAAGGACGTCGCTTTTCCTTCTGATAAAGAGGCTTGCAGATTCCACTGCATTATGTTCAGCAAGATTACTCAAACGATGGCGGTTTTCTTGTACGTGCAACCGTGCTGATGTAAATGGTTTTCGTGTGGGAGGGACAGCGATTGCCTAAAATCGCAAATCTCAAAAATAAGCTTAATTTCTCTGTGTGCCTGTGTTTGTCGGGTCAGGTCAGTGTACCACTCCTTGAGAAGAGAATGCTCGTCGGACGCGTAATCCAACAACGTCCTGCTAAAGGTTGTGCAACGCGAATGCATGGTTATTAAGAGTGCGCTGGCTCGTAAAAGGAAGCAACACTGCAGGAAAAAGTCGGTGGGAGTAAAGTACAATGACAACCTTGACGTTAAATCACGCACAGCACTGCGACATTTTAAACCCGTGAATGCATTTAGCAGCCAAACGTAGTGACCCGCAGCATGCCGCCCGCTGTGGCCGTAACAAAATGCTTCTTCAGTTATGCATCCGTGCAAATCGTGGAAGTTGTTTACCGTTCTTCCATCGCTTCCACGTCGTATTTGCTTGCTCGACAATACGTGGCAAGGAAAGAGGCATGTTGGCTCAGAGCTGAGAGCACGCGTGAACGTGCACGGAGGCCTTCAAGTTATCACTGTTTGGAAACTACTGATAGGAATTGCAAAAAAAAATCCCCGATGACTAATATTTAGAGCGTCAGCATTAAAAGTTATCTGGTTTAATTTCTTGAAATTGTTCTATTACACTGTAAAGATTTGTTTTTTTGATATGTATAATTATGAACAATTTGCCAGTGAATGCATTCAACTTAAAAAAAAAACTTTCCATTTCTTGAACCATTAAAATACCGCACCAGAATAAACTTACAAAACTTGGCAAATATCAACTTTCGTTTTAATGATCTGAATATATGCAGAGGAAAGCTGATGATTTTCAGTTCTTATGAAACAATATTTTCTTTATACGCATTTAAAATGTACATGTATTTTTCAAAATGTTCTAGTGCTTTGACGAAAGAGGTCCCCCTGTACTTTAAGCAATGCTTCAGTAGCATTGTAATCACTGGGCCTGAATGCCCAACTGAGGTTGATTTGGCTGGCAACGCTCCATAGAGCCCTGCACCCATAAAGTGACGTTAGCCCACCCGTGCCATCTGCTTGCAGTCACTAAAAGCATCTCCCGATGGTGCTTGCAAAAGAGAAACCTTCGTTTTAGAGTTTGGACAGTTAATTGTCAACACTTGAGATAAATTCCCGCAGCTGCTTAATATCGGTGGTGGAAAATAGGGTTCGGTTTCATCACACGCATTGTCTGCCAAATGAGATTCAAGTAGCTAAACCATTGTAACTTAATCGATTGTACTTGAGTGCGGAACAGGCAAAGCAAAACTTGGCTCCTCTCAATGTGCCATCCCAGGCACAACCACACGCCATCTGCGGCGCCCCCAACCCACGTGTCACACTGGACATCGTCACACATGAACCAGGATTGTGAATTGGTGTTTCTTGGTAGGCTGGACTGGAAGATAAGCACTTATAACTTTCAGAAACAGCTGCACCGTTATGTAACCCGTAGTTGGTGTCCTTTTTTGCAAATGGATCAGTTATCCCTTTTATATAATAATGTTGGCAAAATGTATGAGTTTTTATAAACAGTAGTGTGGTTTTTCAGAACAGCATATTTATTAATGGTATCAATATATTGGAACTAAAAGACGCATAGCAGTGGTTTTTCATTTTCTGAGAGCTTACACAAGTTACATTTATGAACACACCTATATACCAATCTGATACATTTAATGAGGTTTATTGAAATTTATAGCACAGTATAATGGTAAATTATAAGCCGTTTTTTTGTAAAAGTTTGAACTGGAGATAAATGTGCAGAGTCCTAGTACTTTTGTAATCTAACGGATTAAGTCCGCTAGTTTAATCTTTGCGGTTTTTACATTTGTTATTGGCTTTAAACAGAATGTTACGTACACTTAGAGTAGCTTTCAACGAGTTAAACGGCGAGCAGCAAACGTGCACGATGGCCTCATTTGAACTCTCTCCGGATAAAGAAACGTGGTAGCTGATACTTAATATCCGAATGTCATTCCCATGTGCAAGTCCATATTGAAAGCAACAGTGGTGGATTAACCGTGTGCAGAGTAAAAAAATATAATCTAGAAATGTATATATATTACATTTCTGCAAAAAGAAACCACCTTTATCATCAAAGGGTGCTCTTTGAAATTGCAAATACAATTATTAAATTAATTTGGCATACGTCAGAATTCACTCTTCTTCGGCTTCAAGGAGAGAGCCAATGGTCTAAAGGTGTAATTACATAGACGTGTCAGTGATTCCGTTTAGACTGCCACGCGTGTATGTTCGGGGCTTTCTGCATCTAACCACTTGAGATGTATACGTACCGACACCTGCATACGCACAGCATGATGGGACACAGGGTAGGTGCTGGATTCTATGCTCACTGTGTGTAGAATGTTTCTAAAACGCTTGACCAGGTAAACTAAATACATTATTAAAAATAAGAAGATAAGAAACCCTCTGCATAAAGAATACATACTGCATATGCGATTACGAAGAAATGAATACAACCTTAAAACCGAAAGTCAGCATGTATGCAGAAGGAATTGAATTACTTGCATACTGGACCTCGCATTTAATGATAGTCATATGATTTCCTGGTGGTTATTCAATAACGCCTAACATTTTACCATAATAGATGCTCTAAAAAAAGTGTAAAGCTATAAGACCTGTTAACTTTACAGCTGTACATGTATAGTACAACGTTGATTGACCTGCTTACATATTTTATTCGAACCGCTTGAAATATAGAGGCCCCTAGCATATATAGCAGATATGCAATTTCAAACGTACTGACACATACCTTAAAGCCACCGCTCATAAACCGGTTACCTAAACATTGCGTGAACCATGACTGCAGCAGCAATAAACTGCAATAACATCACTCGTCGAAATCCAGACTGGGATTTTGTGTAATGTCAAATCACATTGGCAACATTCCATTTCGTAGACAACACTGAATAACTCCATAGGCGATTTTAAAATAATTGTCACGCTCGGCTCCACTACACAAAGGGAGTTAAACTTAATCAACGTTGCATTACACTGACAGCATTTTCACATAGTCGGCATAACTGTGCTCGCTAATATACCTAAGGAAAAGACGAGGATATGTATAAGATTACATGCAAACTCTTGAGATGAGAGCAATGTGGCCCATGAACTTGGTTGTGGGGGGTGGGGAAACATTGTTTGTGAATGTACGTTTGCCTGTGTTAACGTGGCAATAGAATATATCCAGACAAAGTGAAGCCTTATTTGATGACTACGATATGTACAGCATTGGATCACAGTGTGCGTGCGAAGATGGGTCATTTCTATAACAACCCTTGTACAGCCCTTCTTTAACCTCCTGAAGTAGGTTACATTGTACAGAACACTTGTTTAAAATGTTGCTATCTTTTACTTCTGACGTTGATTTTAACGGCAATAATAGTATTTAACTCTTATGCTGCAGATCAGCACTGGCACAATGTACAGTACCAGAATTTATATTTCTGCTGATGGCTGAGTATGGTAGCATAAGCACACGTTGACATGCACTGTATATAGCCCCATGATGGAACCTTTGGAACTTGTATGAGCTTGTCAGACGCCACAGAGTACTGCAGGCTTCTGAAATGCATTATCTGGGACTTCCATTGAGAGCTGGCGAAGCAGCATCTCGGTATAGAGAAGGAACGTGCTTTAGATGATTTACCTTGCACATATGCAAGCGGGTATGTATTAATTTCCCACTTTATCGAGGTATGAGAACTTGTACAGATGTGGTATACACCGAATAAAAGTACATTTAACTTTATCACACTGTTGCCCGTGTCGGTGTGATGGCATTCGTGTGCATGGCGCGCGGTCGAGGTGGATGAACCACAACAGTTGAGAGAGGTGATCCAAGGGTTTGTCGGCTGATGACTTCGCTTCGGTGCCGCTGGTCAAAGGTCCCGATTGCCCCGAGAGCACGTGCTTCATTGTTGTGCTCCGCCGTGCAAAGAACGGTTCAGTCCAGTGAGTGTTCTTCACTCATTTTCAGAGGGGGGTGGGGGGGGTGGAACTTTCACCGATAAGACATCATCATTCTGTGAGGGCCGCCACACATTTGAAACCATTGGGGGTTTGACAGCAACACGATGGTGATGTTAGGAGGTGTGTTCACCATTTGGGTGTTAGGGGCCACACTAAAGACCACCAGGAGCCGCCAGTGACCCACGGGCCTTGCAATGAGGAACTCTGGTTTAGCCTCAGCATGTTCATCACAGTATTATCATTCATGGTCATAATTGGATTCAACAATCGGGTTTGTGTTTAATTTTTTTTACCAACGTGTTTATATTGTTTATCATTTCCGCTTTGTACTTTTTCCTCCCCTTACTCCCCTAAATGTAACGACGTATAATGTGTAGTGTTCATGAATCGTTCATAATTGATCCTCACGTGTGCAGCTGAATGCAGATTTCTGTGCAGATTTCAATCTTGACGCGAGTTGACGTTCCCCAGGAAACATTTTTTTTCGAATAGAAAGAAACAGCTCGCGAACCGGGTGACGAGACGTCAGCGTGTTGGATGACATTTCGCACACATTTACTCGATTTTCACACAAAAATGCACGAGCTCAGTTGTAGAAAGGCTCGATCATTATTTTATCAAATGATTTACATACAGGTCCACTAGCCTGCTATACATACACATAGCTTATAAATACCATAGAGAACCAACACACGGGCACATGAATAGGGAATCCAACCGCGTGATCAAGTTGGATTTTGAAACTTTTCTACCATTCACCAACGACGGCCATCAATCTCATTCTAGAAGAGGCACGTCGAATGCCATGTATGCCTGGCTTGTTGTAGACTATGAAACAAGGCGTTTCATTAGAGTGGGGGGGGAGGGGGGCACATGTGCTGTCGATGAGGATTTCGGGCAAATAAAACGCGACGAGCGCTGGCAAAGATGTGTCGTGGATTAGGGGCCGTTCATAAATGACGTCACGCGATTTTGGACGATTTTTGACCCCCCCCCTCAAATATGACGTCACAAAGCTCTGCCCCCCCCCAACCATATTTCCATTTTGTAAATAAAGCATGCTTCAAATCGCTTTAAACTATTGTCATTGTAGTGCGTAATTAATGTGGCGCTGCACTCTGATGTTGTAGGGGTGTTGTTATAACAATTAGTGTTGTTATAGCAATTATATATTTAAAGTTGCGCATTTTGGTGTGACGTCACATTTCTTTAAACCACCCACCCCCTCGTCACACATCATCACAAATGTCTGACCCCCTCCCCCCCCCCATGTGCGTGACATCATTTATGGACGGCCCCTTAGGGGCCCCGTGGTACAGCAACACCTTAACAGTTGCTGTAACGATGTTACCCCCCCCCCCCCATGTGCGTGACGTCATTTATGGACGGCCCCTTAGGGGCCCCGTGGTACAGCAACACCTTAACAGTTGCTGTAACGACGTTACCCCCCCCCCCCCCTCGTTGTGAACACAGCGATCGAGCCACACCCTACAGTCGCACAAGATGTAGGCAAGTTCCCCGGGTAACGCCGGGTATTTCCTGCCGGTTAGTCATAAATACTCAACGTTACTGACAAATAATGCGGAAATATTGTGTCCGTCGGCCTGTTGTCCCGTCTAATATAAAGATGTTTTTGGGGTAGATCGCGTCAATATAACACGTTCCTTCGGAGTGGGCAGGTAGGAACTTGGTTGGACAGCGCATTCGTGCACGACAGACAAATATGGACAACAGACAGACAAATAATCCCTGGTGGGAAGTGTGGAACCTGTTGTTCCAACCTGTATAAACGTGTCGTTAAACCCGCCACCACCCGACACAGCCAACTCGTAAGGGTTGTCACGTAAACAGAACGTGGCCAATTCGTTACTAGTACAGCACTAACCGGTGTGTTGGAGAGCCAAGCCACAACATTTACAATCCGAGTACGACGTTTCGCCAGTAATCACTACTAGCTTTATCAGGCGACAGTCCCGTCACGCAAATTGCCCGCTGGGCTGTCCAGGCGTTGCAGGCCAATTCGCGCATCCAGGACGGTGTTGTTTCAGCGCAAAGACGGCACCATTTTCGCTCATGGTTGAACAAATTGTTTCGTGATACTGAACGGCATTCGTCGACGGTGTTGGACAAGCACAACAACAACAACACTCAACACATTCCGTCAGTAACGCTGCGGCCGTGAAAGGAAAAAAACATTAAGATAGGCGGTCGCTTCGGGTAATGGAAGGACCATTTCCAATTACAGTGGAGTATATGTTTTTCATTTAAAGCAGTTTTAGTGACGAATGTGTTCAGGGACCGTCCATAAATGACGTCACGCACCTGGGGGGGGGGGGGGTCAGACATTTGTGACGATGTGTGACGAGGGGGGGGGGTGAGAAATGTGACGTCACATCAAAATGCGCAACTTTAAATAAATATAGACAACACGTTCTACTTAATTAAATAGACTTTTTAATAAATGTTTTCTCCTACAACATCAGAGTGCAGCGCCACATTAAATACGCACTAAAATGACAATAGTTTCAAGCGATTTGAAGCATGTTTTTTTTGGGGGGGGGGGGGGGGCAGAGCTTTGTGACGTCATATTTGAGGGGGCTGACTTTTTGTGACGTCGTCTGACGATTGGGGGGGGGGGATCAAAAATCGTCCAAAATCGCATGACGTCATTTACGGACGGCCCCTCAGATGTTTTGTTGTTTGTACAATAATTGAGCGATATCACGGAGGATAATGCTTCACAAATATCTCTTCTTGTGGCTGATGTTGACGTGGACCCACAAGTTCTGTGGGGAGCGGTGGTGCGCCACAAACCTGGCTACCCGAGTTCGATTCCCCAACACCAGTAACGATCACTTGAACCGATCCTCGGCCTCCCCTAGGTCGACTCAGCCTCAAAACGAGTACCTGTTGCGGTGTGTAAAAAAAATCGCCACTGGGGAGACAAAAGCGGCCCGAACGTAGCTTGCCCACCCCATTCCCTCGTGTGCCGTTCTGGCCTTGGTGGGTGCTCGCTCGCTGCACTCGCCCCCCCAACCAGCCTGTTGAGGCGACACGAGTTGACGTGGGCAGACGAACCCTCTGCAGCTGGTGTCGACTTTCACACGCGTGTTTGCGCTGCCCCCTGGCGGCGCGGACACGTGGCGCTGTGCGGGAGATGCGTCAACAATCGGCCGGTTTGCGAGACAGCCATCGATCGATTGATTGATCGGAGAGTGGTATCCACGACCATAGGGGGAGGGGGGGAAGAAGAAGAAGAGAAGACGAAGACCCGAGGCCAGATGGTGGGAAGCTATCAGGACGGACCGTGGAGGTCTCCCCTGTGCAGCAGCTGCGGGTTTTGTGCAGAGGTGTTGTGACCGCAAATGTCTTTTGGCCACGCTGCGTGCCAGGAGGGTCGTGGTGGTTCACTGGGAGATGATAGTAGACATGAATCTTATGTTAACCGAGAAAGCCTGTGTGTAAATGCAGGTGAGTTATAAGACGATATTTTAAAAAGTGTAACGGAAGGGAATTCCACAATCGTGGAGCCTGGCTGCAAAAAGCTCCGTCTTCTCCCACAGAACAACAACGTTCTTTGGAATAATGAGTAGACCGAAATCAGCAGATCTAAGTTTACACAGTGGAATATAAAACTTAAGCGGATCGGTGGGATATTTAGCAGCCAGCTCGTTCAAGGCCTCAGACGTGAGAATAAGAATCTTATAGTCGATGTTGTACTTTACAAGGAGTCAGCACAGGGAGGAAAGAGGAGGAGTAATTTGGTCACAATTTCGATCTGCTTGAAACCCACGCAGCTGAGTTTTCGATATATATTGTAGTCTATTGAAACATTTTTAGAGACGCCAGGAATCAAGACATTGCAGTAATCCAACCTTGATTAAATAAAGGCATGCACTAAGATCATGGAAGGGACAGCATGGGGGTCTAAGTTAAGCGGTGTTGCGTAAATGAAAAAAACAAGAGATATTGGTAATGGATGTAAGATTACAAAAGTTGACATGCCAAACTGGGGTCCAGGATACCACCCAAATGTCTGACCTCAGCGAAACACCGAATTACAGTCCCGTCTATGGCCAGACTAAAACCATCCAATTTACGCACTTGGTGTGGAGAGCCCAACAACATAATCTCTGTCTTGTCACAATTTAATTGATGAAAGTTTAGGTGCATCCATGACTTGACCTCAGCAAGACGACGTTAAAGTATGGAAGCTGCTACTTTAGTATGAGTCGTAGTCTTAAGATAAATTTGTAGTAGTCAGCATAAAAGTGAACATTTTAGCCACGACGACGAAAAAGTATAGCCAAGCGGTAGCATAGAGAGGCTGAACAACATTGAGCCTTGAGGAACTCCAGAGGACACTAAACCATTAACAGAGAAATAGTCACCCATTGAGACCAACTGCTCTTTTTGGACAAGTATGACATGAGCCAACAGAGAGCAGTACATGAAATGCCTACAGAAGTCTCAATACGATTTTGCAAACTAAAATGATCAAGAGTGTCGAAATCAGCACTAAGATTGAGAAGTGCCAAGATGGCTAGTCAACCGGAATCAAAATCACAAATAAATAATTTACAACTTTAACAAGTGCTGCTTCTGTACTATGCATCGCTTTAAAGCCCGACTGAGCCACCACATGCTCAAGAATTTTAGACAAAAAGGTAGATTGGATGTTGGCCTATAATTTGCAGGACTTTCAGGGTTCAAGATGTGGTTTCTTAAGTAATGGCATAACGTAAGGAAATTTAAAAGCATGAGGTACCGCCGTGGTCA